CTGCACACTGTCAAGCAAGAAAATAAAGCAGACATATAAAACAAACATAATAAGTCTTAAATAAGGAATGTAAAGTATAAATTGAGACTTATTTACCTTTGTTGAGGATGGTAGAGAGTCTAGGGTGGCAAGTTCTAGTCTCGACCAATCTTTGCTGGTTCATCACCACTCTTATTATGCCTTATCACATCACATCAAGTTGCCCAGCACAAGAGGAACTACAGTAAGTCCTCGCTTAATGTCGTGGTTCCGTTCCTGAAAACCGGTACGTTAACGGAATCAATTTTCCCCATAAGAAATAGATCAAATACGAGAGTTACGTTCCAAGCCTCCCTTTGCCTCATAAAATACATTACATACACAGAAATTCAATGGCATTTTTATAGAAAATAGTATATATATATTTAAAAATCTAAATTATTTTGCATTATACAGTACTCACTGATGGGAGGTGGTGGTGGAGCGAGTGTGTGGTGGGTAGTGGAGTGCAGCAGCAATGTCCACTGCACGTTCACCTTTTTAAAAATGGTTTAACATTTCCATTTTCGTAGCAAGGCTAATGGTCTTATGTTGCTTCTTCGCAACACTAGCATCTGTAGCCCTTGATGGGCGTTTGGAAACCATTTCAAATGGTTAGAGTACAGTATTAAGAGCAAAAACACTTAAACACGTACAAATGCTGTGGAAGCCTGACAAAGACTGGGAATGCTGTGACGCTCCGTGAGTGAGAGCGTAGCGTGCCAAGATGAGAGGGGGTGATGCACCGTACAAAGTAGTCCGTGACGACGTTATACTGAATCGGTTGGGACGTTATCTGAACCATGGGTATCTAAAGAATAGCGAAGTTATAAAGAAACAACGTTATTGAGGGCAACGTTAAACAATGACTACTGTACTGTATCACTACGGCATTTAGGCATAATTCCATAACACACGAAGTCGGAGACACTTGGTAAATGTAAACACGTGCATATAGGCGGGAATGAGTCGGAGGCAGTGTGTAAAGCCCTATCGTGGCAAGAATTTACACCACGCCATCGCCCGCCAAATTCAAAACAGCTCTGTGGCTCCTCCCCCGATTGTGGGATCTACAGGGTATTAACGAAACTTGCACTGTCTTTCCCTTATATGAAATCATCAGTTATGTGAATTGGCAATTAATGGGTTTTTGAGGTATACCTGTAATGAAGTAAGTTAGTGTACAGGTATTTACAGAGACTAATAATATAACCACATTGACAGAAGTTCTAAGATTTATTACATACTTTCCTTGGATACAGGTCTATGACAGTATCTACTTTATGTAATTATCCATTTACGGGAAACCTCTTGGTCCCGAAATTTTCAGTTGACGGATATTAGAATTATCTATTTGAATAAATATGTTCAGTACAGTAAACCATTGCATCAAGTTTCATACACTAAAGAAAGAGATACTTACTGGATGTTTCAAATATCTTTAAAACATTTGTAAGTGGAATTTAAAGCTATTGGAGTGATATAAAATAAAATGGGTTTATTTTAAAGTCTTTATTTGCTATTCCTTATTTCATATTAACATGTTGAGATTCTATGTATATAAAAAACAAAGCTTATTACCAATAAACATTGTATTTGGTGTTTTGGACTATGTCTCTATGGTAAGCCTACAGTTTATCATCTAATGGTTATATATACAATATTCAGTACAAGAACTAATACAGGAATTGTGCTATTACATCTTTTTTATTTAATTAAACACTGCAGCACATGACACCCAGTACACAAAAGCTACGGTCACACTAGAGTTTTTTGTGCAATAAATCCACGATAACGTTCCTCCACAGGCAATAAGTCAACGGTACGACCCGCACACTGGCGAAAGGAACAGTTGGCCAGGCGCCCAGCTCATGCGGCAAGTTTGAGCTCAGTTGGAGAGCAGAATGGCTTCATTGTATGTTTCTATGGCAGTATTAACCGCTTTAGTGAGATGTGGTCCTGTTAAAGAAGACCAAGACAAAAAAGAAGCGATTGTAGAGTCCAAGCGATGTTTGTTTACAAAAGTGACACAAATACTCTCGAGTAAAATGAAATTTCAGTCGTGATGTATTATTATTGTTATTTTTTTATTTACTATGACATTTTTGCTCGTGTTTTGTTATTGAAATACACTTTTTATATATATATTTTTTTTTAAATTTTAACATTAATAAGAAAAATAAGAACGGTGTAAATGTTATTAATACAGTAGAGTCTCTATACACATAGTAAATTTCAACCCACTTTCAACAACAAATAAGTTGTCGCTGTAGAGACAACTTGAGGAGTCCATTGAATAATCAACGCTATGGTGGATTTATTCTGAGTGACCACAGCTTTAGTCACCCAGCAAAATAGATTGACACTTCATACATGACTTCTTTAACCTTGTTTATTCACTCCCATGATTCAGCAGAATACTTGTACAGTAGTCGTCAATAATGTTTTATATAATGACGGCAGCAGCACCACTCCGTTTAAAGAAAAATAGTGAAAGCAATAGCGGAGTTACATTTTAGAAGAATTACAATGGCTACTTTTAGTGCTTTGTAAGTGGCAGCGCATTCTTTAGAACAATTAACTAGAACTTGTCTGCTCCCACTCAGCAGCCAATGAACATCTGATCACATGTACAGTATGTCTGTGTTTTGACCTCTGTTCTCCTGTTGTTAACTGTTTTCCCCTCTCACTATACTTACTGTATCTTGGGTTTTTTACTCTGTATTCGTCTGTACAGTACAGTACAGTATGTGCCAATTTTGGTGCTTTTATCAGTGTACTATTTTTTTTATAATAGTTTGGATTACATCACAGAACAGAGTGAATATTGTATATAAGCACATATCTGTGCTGTACTGTATTACTATTAACTTTAGTAAAGTCAGGGACAATTCACTAAAAGACTCTAATTCGAGGAAATCTTAATTATGCAAATGAGAATGTGACATGTGCTGTACACACAACTACCGATTTAAATATCATCGTGTTATGGGAAGGACCTCTAAAGACAAGCCGGCCAACATCTTGTGTCAAGACTTCCATCCTTGTAAATTATTTTTCCTCAAAAGCCAAACGACCCACATGCTCGTCACACCTGCTCCAGTGTTGGTAAAGTCTGGTCTTGAAAGAGCTCACACTCGGTGCCATCACAACACTCTCTGGTAGATTGTTCCAGGAGTTCACAATTCTTACTCCGAAAAAGTTTGCCCTCACAGTTTTTTGGACTTGTGGCTTCTTCAACCTGCCAGCTCAAGGTACAGTACAGTACAGGTGTATACTTTCGACTGAGTGCCTCGGAGATGTTTATACACTTCAATAGGTCACCCCTTGTCCGTCTGTCTGGTTTTTTATGTTTTGACTTGGGGTATTTGGTATTCTTTATATTCAAATAAATTTCCAGATAAACCTGGCTTCAAAGTAACTTCACAAATGACTCCAGACCATAACAATCATCACTACAGTATTTAATTTCGGCTAAATAATCTACAGCAACATTATAGGTGAAGCACCTGTATTGTTTATATCACAAATATTAATGAAAATAAGTAGTATACACCTGAAGAAAACAAAATTGGAGACTCAGTAGTGGCCTTTATATTTATGTTAATATGTGGTTGTTTATTGTGGCTGTTGCTTCAAGTTGCTTAGATTCTCGAGTATTTTCAGTCTGTAGGATTGTAGTCATCATGGAACTGTGTGATCCTAAACCAAGCACAAGAAAACAACAGCTGATAATAATGATATAGAAAAACATGCGAAGAAATTGTTGAAGGACAAGGAGACACTTCCACCTTAGCCGTACATGAGTCAGTACAGTGATCTCTCGGTTAACGAAATTTCAGTGAACGAATTACCTTCCATAAGATTCTTCACTTCGGTTAACGAGCAAACCCTCGGTTAACGAATTCCTTACAAATTTTTCCCAACATGTTTTCGCCAGCATTTGGCTGCCCACCAGCTGTAGTATTAGTCCACCAATACAGTAATCGGTTTTAGGGCTTAAATTCCTTACCATTTTAGTAAATATCAAGAGGGTTGTACTATTCAATAATTTTAAAAGTTTTATTAATTTTTTTATTAATTTTAACAATTATTGAACATAATTGAAGTACAGGAAACTAGTTTTATGCGCACCAAACAGCCACTCAACACACCAAGCTTGGCGTCAGTTTGTTTACAGGTTCAGAGGAAGGAACTTGTTTGAGATTCTTCAACATAAACACTTTTTTCTGTGTTTTCAGTCAAATTATTGATAATTTTGAAATATATTTTACATATTGACAATATATAATGCAGTGCAGTGTTGATTTAAAGAAAATAATCTTGAATTACACCAAGAGAACTAAAATTTTATGGGTGAAATGGCAGCATGGGGTGACTTCTCTTCCACCCTAATGCCTTCTCTTCTCCCTTCTCCTCCACCCCCATTCTAATTCCCATCATCATCAACCAGGAGCCTTCTATATGCACACCTCAAAGTAAGTGTACTTTAATGCATTTATTTTTAGTTTGTATGTAATTTTCGGTGAGCTGGAACCAATTACCCAAAAACCCATTGAAACAATGGTTTCAGGTAACGAATTTTTCGGTTAAAGAGCAACCTTCTGGAACGAATTGTGCTTGTTAACTGAGGGACCACTGTATTTTACATTTGGAGAGACAACTTCTGGCAACAACTTAAATTTTTGGTGTGATCCTTGTCGCCCAGTAGTCAAATAGTACTAAAAAAATTTGGGCCACAAACAATGATAAAGTGATGCTTGGAAGTCTGCTTGTTTTATCAGCTGGAATGGGCCATGTTTAGCTTGATTGTAGTGCTGCCACATGTAGTCATATTTATTTTATTATAATAACATAATAAAGCAAACAATATTTAAATATTTTCATTCAGGTGTGGTAAAAAAGAAGCGTGAAATAGTCCAGTTCTCCGAGTAACACTTATACCATCATTAGTAGGTAAAACCTATCAAATAAATGAACTGTAAATTATGACAATGCATTTTTTATTAGGCCACTGGAAAAAAAAAACTGCTTCAAGATATTAGTTTCTTCCTCTTGTCTGCTTTATTCATGTTGTATTAGTTATTATTCTATTCTGTACTGTACATGCTATAGCATTGGAGGGTAGTTTAAATTATTGGCAAGTGCACCTGATAATGTCATGTTCTCACTTATTGCTGAGTACATACTAGCTTATATATATAATGGGTAAACATAGTCCTCTACTCAGGTTTAGAAATGAACCTACGATCATTCATTTATGAAGTGAATAATCAACTAAATGAGTCACAGAGCCACTTGGAGAACAATTCAACCGGATATGTGTATTACTGTACAGTGAGTTCTGCTATAACGCGTGTTTTGATAACGCGAATTTGCTCTAACGCGATTTATGAATTCGGAACAATATTTGTATAACGCGATCGCTTGTTTGCTATAACGCGATTTTTGCTTACTATTTCTCCAATTTTGTGGTATTAACTGTGAATATGGTAAAGAGGAATATCTCCAAAAAGCATTCTGATGATAGAATTCCCGGTGATTATCGTAAAAGAAAGGATATAACACTTGAAGAGAAGCTTGATGTTATCAACCTCAAAATCACCCTTCTCCCCCATCAAGTTACATTCATATTTTTTCAAGGTAAAGTGTTAAATTTACTGTATGATTTCATTATTAGATATGAATGTAACATTTATTTAGACTGTGCTATCCTTTGTGTTAGGCTAACTACTAAATTTTTTCGATTTCGAGTAATCTGCACCTAACCCTATTTTCTCCATAAGCCCTGTTATTTCTATTACGCGATTTTCTATAACACGATATTTTACAAGAACACAATTATCGCGTTATAGCAGAACTACCTGTACAGGTACCCCTCGATTTAGGCCATTTTTAGAATAACATATGCGGCCCATTTACACCGTTTTTTAATTTACGTGGACTTATATTTGGAATAAAGCAACCTTCGACAAGCATCATCAATGGGATGGTAGTGCAGTGGTGTCGCATTGTCAGCGCAATACAAGAAGCTCGCGTATGCGTGGCGTGGGTATGCAGTTTCCAGCCTTGCAGTCCTTAGTGTGTGGATACAGTCTACAGTATTTTGTGCTGCAGTATACTGTATATTGTACATGGTTTGCCCCTTGCATCATGCCAGCAGTGTCCTTTAAGTTCTCCTGGTACCAGCGGTGCTAACAAGTATAAGGCTATCATTATTGAGGTGAAGATGGATGCGCTCAAACATTTATGAGAGAGGCGAATGAATAGCTTAGTGCAGAGAAGATCAAGGAAAGTGCAAAGATCAGTGCATCTAAGACCTCATATTCCAGAAGTTCAATTATGGAGAGAATGTAATGAATGTTGAGCATATGGATTGAATACCAAACTCATGAAATTGTTCCCGTTGGCATGCTTGTGATACTAGCAAAGGCCCAGAGTATTTTATATTTACTGATACATGTATACAGTAGACCCTTGCCATTCGTGAGGGATAGGTTCCAAGAAATGACGCGAATTGGCAAAACTGCAAATATCAATTTATACTACCTTAGTGCACTACTGTATACCTATACCAAACAACCAACCAGTCACAGCAGCACTCATGCCCTCTTTTAACTTGTCTAACAATAAAACTTTCTTTGTCAGGGTCATCACTGACATCTGCCTTTTACATTTCACTTCACTAGCACTGACACTAGGCTGTCTTTTAGGGGCCATTTCACACAGAAACACTAAAGTTTTGAGAGTACAACACGAGATGCTGCGTGGGGCGACCCCTTATGCTGGGGGAAAAGGCTTGCAAGCTAGCCACCATCTGTTTACCGCAAATCGTCGAAATCGCGAATCACAAACCCACAAATGGCAAGGGTCTACTGGACTGTACTGGTATAATATTTGGTACAGTACTGTCTTATTAATAACACAAAACCCTAATCTCCAATATTTATATTGTTTGATTTATTTGTTTTTTATTTACACAACCATTTTCATGAACAGAATTATTGCATAAATTGAGAGGTTCCTGTACCAATGTACCATATAAATCTTATTTATCCATATCTACTGTTAAAAGGCTTTACCACAACTGTGTGGAGTACAGTAATGCAGGATTTTGCTGTGTTGAAAACTATTCCAAAACATGTGACTGGCATTTGCCCAGCAAACAAGCTAGTATTTTGAAAGGAAAGCCTAGATGGGAATTTGTCAGGTGCCAATACCCCACCTTCCTGTACATGCTTAACCAGGGAGGCCCATCAATGGGCTGCTTGTCATTAGTGTAAAAGGATTAATGACCTATATCAGGTGCAGGTAAATTATCTCAACATTAAGCCATCAACCCACATCTTGTCAGTCAGTGTCAAGTTGTCAACATTTCAAAGGAGAGTGGCTAAGACTGTCACATGCACATATTGGCAACTATGGCCTGCCATGTGTTATTTTATTCATATACCATGTGTTTTTATGATATCATTATTACCAATATTATGATGAGTTTGTTCAGACAATGATAATGGTGTTGAGAAGATAATTTAAGGCAAAAACTCTGAATTTTGTTTTGTTATGTAGGTAATACAATAATGAATTGGAGAATTATACCTATAATAACATGCATTAACAAAGAATAAGGGTACTGGGATGAGGCACAAATCATGGAACATGCTTTGTACAGTTTCATTGTCTGGAGTGTCCCTCCTTAGTGATGCAGGAATTAGGTCCAAGGACTGTTTTACCTAATATTGTGAAGGTTTTCTATACAGAACTAGTTGAGTCACAACCCAGGAAGAACTGTAACTATTAGCTCAAATAATGTATATATTTTAATTTTAATTGCTATTCCTTATTTTCCCTCTACTTTTGATTCTTTATCGCAAGAGGGACATCTATTGAATGAGAAGTGAATGTTGTGTCACATATCATGGATTTTGAACAGAATAAATGTTATTAGCTTACTTTAGTCATTTCCATGATTCAATACTTGGAAATATATTGTTAGCTATTTAGGCATATGTAAGAATTTGATTTGAAAACAAAATAATGAACTTACTTGATGAATACTGTATATTAAACTACTACTGACCATACATGCCTATCAAACACACCTAAATTTGTAGATCTCCTAAAATACCTGAAACAAGTACCATATATTGTACAGGTACAATAGTACTAAAACCCTCTATAATATGCAGTAGCAGCAATTGTCCTAGCACTGGTGGGAAGGTGAATGACAGCATCACCCTGATATACCACTGACTGGGTGGCAACAGGCACTTCTTCTTGAGTTAAGAGTCAGGTTTATCACACAGGCCACATAACTGATGGAGGTTAGCATCATCTGATAAACAGGATACCATAAAATGACCCAGGTCGTACTTGGAGATCGTACGACCAGGACCACTTCCATGCTCCTTGACATAGTCTCCTTGGCCAGGTTCATCTGTATGGAAATACAACACAGTAACATAAAGAGAATACAAGTAGTTTTTGAGGTATGGAATAGACATGAAATATAAAATAAATGACAAGCCAGTGATGATGACGTCCAACAATACAACAGTAGAGAACAATATACATGTATGTAGGAGAAAGACCATGTAAAAGATTCAATAGTTATGGAGTTGTTAAAGATGAGGAATGTATCAATGTACAGTGGGGAAGAAATGTGGTACAGTATGCATAAAAATGTCAGATAATGAAGACAGAATTTGATGAGAAGTATTCAGGCAAAATTATATTCAGTGATCCCCCGGTTAACGAATTTTCGGTTAACGAATTACCTTCCACAAGATTCTTCACTTCGGTTAACGAGCAAACCCTTGCTTAACGAATTCCTTACGAATTTTTCCCAACATGTTTTCACCTGCATTTGGCTGCCCACCAGCTGTAGTATTAGTCCGCCAATACAGTACAGTGAACCCTCACTTTACATGGTTAATTGAACCCACGGCGGCCAGCGTAAAGTGAGAAACACGTAAAGTGAACAACATAACATATGGGATTAATTGAAAGAGAGACCGGGCCGACCCCCAAACTCCACTTTTTCCCGACACAATACGTACGTTTTACTAAAAATAACATCTTAACTTTATGATGGTATTCACACACACACATAATGTAGAAGGGAACAATCATTAAGAGAATAATATACTGAAGGTTAGGTTAGAAAAAAAACAAGGTTGGGGTTAACACTTACGTTAGTAGAAGAGACGGGTCTGCGTAGGGGAATGGAGGCTGGTTCCGAGGCAGAGGGCAGGCTACTGGCCCTCAGGTGAGTATTCATCGGTGTCATCCACACTTACTAGTGCCTCCCTGACAAATCCCTCAAAGTCATCATCATTGTCTCTACCTCTGTCACTATCACTGGCTTGGGCTGGCTGTGGTGGGTTGCGGGCAAAGAAGTCGGTTATGCTTTGCTGACGGCTGGTGTTTATGTTGTCGTGATAAACCTTGATGTAGGGCTCCATAGTCTGCAACAGCTGGGTAGTGAAGATTTCATACCTGTTAGCGTCAGGGTCGTCGGAAAGGAGGAGCTTGACTTTCTCAATACACTCGATGGCACCCCTTACATTACTATGGGATAACTGGCGTTCTTCTTGGGATGACGCACCACCTGCCTCTTCACTGACGTCATCATCATCTACCATCTCGTCGGTAGTCACATCAGGATCCCTTATCACCTCCAGGATGTCGTCGTTGGTTGTCTCTGAGAAGCCTGCAGCTGTAACACTCTGTGCAGCTTCTCTGGCAAGGTCCACTGCTACTGCAACAGTCTGAACCTCACCAGTCACAGATTTACTCTGCCTAACACCCGGAATACCTTGCAACACATGTCTCCATGCGTGACGAACAGTTGCGACAGACAGCTGATCCCATGCCTCCACCAAGAAGTCCACAGCTTTCTTGACGTTGAATGTTCTCCAAAATTGTCTCAAAAGTACTTCTTGCTCTGCCAACTGTTGATCCTCGTCGTCTTTGCTCTTGCTATCGGTGTTGGTGTCACTCAGGTTACGCAACTCTTCCTTGGTGTTGGTGTAGTCGTTCAGGAGCTTCAATTTCTTGGCAGAGAATGCAGCTTTTACATTACAGATCAATTCTTGGTGCATGGGCTGTATTAAAGACGTAGTGTTGGGAGGAAGGAAGACCACTTTTACGTTGGGGTGACGATCTAACAGTAGGGGCGAGTGTCTTGGTGCGTTGTCAAGCAGCAACAAAATCTTGAATGGTACATTCTGTTGCTCACAGAATTTCTTCTCATCGGGAACGAAACAGTCATCAAACCAGGAGAGGGACAGTGTAGAGAACATCCACGCCTTACGTGCGGTCAGCCAGTGGACATTTAGCTTGGTCATGTCCATGCTCTTGTAGGCGTGCGGCTTGTGTGCTGTGTGGATCACTGGTAACTTGAGCTTACAGGTACCGGAGGCATTGGTGGTAAACAGGACGGTGATGCGCTCCTTCTGCAACTTCCGGCCCCGACACTTGCTGGCATTCTTCACAACGAAGGTCTTGGAAGGTAGCTTTTTCCAAAAAAGACCAGATTCGTCCATGTTAAACACCTGGTCGTCGGTGTACTGTCCTTCCTCCATAATCTCACGTAAAAACGGAGAAAATTCCCGAGCCGCAACACGGTCAGCACTAGCTTCTTCACCACCAATGTTGATATTGGTGATCTTGTTCCTCTTCTTAAACCTCTGTAACCACCCAGAGGAAGCATTAAAGAGTTTGGGCTCTGTAATTCCCATCTTTCGTGACACTGCAGCATACAGTTCACGTGCGTACTCCTTAACTGAGCGCATGTCCACCGCCATGTTCCGTCGCACTTGACGAACCAAGTAGCTCACAAGTAATTTTTCCGTCTTGAGAAGCACCTGGTTGTGGAAATACTTGATCATAGAAGCACCTGTAGACTTTGTGATGTTCATGTGCTCCTTTATCTTGGCTGCATCCTTCTTAATTGTCCTGATAGTTGATTCGTTAACACCATGCTGGCGCGCGAGATCAACCTGTCTTGTTCCTTTCTCCAACTCTTGTATGATCTTATATTTGATTTCGTAGCTTAAGGAACGTCGTGTCTTCTTTGGCTTAGGGCGGCTGGGTCCAGGTAATGCAAGGTTTCTTTGTGGTGGTGGTCCGGTGGAAGCCATTCTTATGGAACAATGGATACCAATATACACGGTGTAGCCGGGAGGGGTGTAACTGACGCGGTGGGTCAAGGGGCTTGAACGCTCCCTCGGCGAGGTACGTCATAGTACATTAAACCAATCACAGCTAGCGGGGAGGGAGGTAAGGATGCTTTGCCCAATCACAGTCCGATACGTCATATGACGCCACCGATAACGCAACAAAGACATACACTGCGCAACCTACTCGCGCCGCTTACACAACATAGCGGATGGCGGGAGAGATGGCGGGAGGTTTGGATCCAAAAATGGCGCAGCGTGAGAGACCGCCAGCTGCTCTCCGCATAAAAGGGTACACACACAGCGGAAAGTGAGCATTCCGTGTTCGGCAGGGTACCGAGGAAACGTGGAAACGCGTAAAGTGAAACCGCGTAAAGTGAAACCGCGTAAAGCGAGGGTTGACTGTAATCTGTTTTAGGGCTTAAATTCCTTACCATTTTAGAAAATATCAAGAAGGTTGTACTATTCAATAATTTTAAAAATTGTATTTTAAATTTTTTAGTCATTTTAACAATTATTGAACATAATTGAAGTACAGGAAACTAGTTTTTTGTGCGCCAAACAGCCACTCAACACACCAAGCTTGGCGTCAGTTTGTTTACCAGTTCAGAGGAAGGAACATCTTGTTTGAGACTCTTCAACATAAATGCTTTTTTTCTGTTTCCAGTGAAATTATTGGTCATTTTGAAATATATTTTACATAATGATAATATATAGTGCAGTGTTGATTTAAAGAAAATAATTTTGAATTATACCAAGTGAACTAAAATTTGATGGGTGAAATGGCGGCATGGGGCGACTTCTCTTCCACCCCCCACTGCCTTCTCTTCTCCCTTCTCCTCCACCCTCATTCTAATTCCCATCATCATCATCATCATCAACCAGGAGCCTTCTACATGCACACCTCAAAGTAAGTGTACTTTACTGCATTTATTTTTAGTTTGTATGTAATTTTCGGTGAGCTGAAACCAATTACCCAAAAACCCACTGAAACAATGGTTTCAGTTAACGAGCAACCTTCTGGAATGAAATGTGCTCGTTAACCGAGGGACCACTGTATACATATGTGAAGCCCTAAGGGTTCCAGTAAATAACTAAGAATATCATATTTGTAAATTCCTTGAACCTATGACTTAATCTTTAAGTTAAAGACAAAATATTTCCAAGTTCTGAAAATTCACACTGTGAGATTAATGAAAATAAAATTCTTTTATTGTAATGAATCGTGAGACATGAGGGAATACTATCTTCAGGAGACAGTAGGAGAATGTTGAGCAAAGTCGACTGACATCATGCCAAGAGGATGGCTTATGTGTGGAAGAATCTAGTCTGTGTACATAAAATACTGTACAGTACAGTATACCTGTACAGTCGGCCCTTAACATACGCGGGTTTATAATACACGGATTTGCAAATACGCGGATTGCCCCGCCGGAGGAATATTCTGTACATTGAAGTAATTGAAGTAGATTCAAATCGCACGCCATTCAACTCGTGCGCGGCACCGAACACGGGACACCGCCCGCTCCTGCAACCTCACACACACACACACAAGCTAGCTCTCCCTCACTCAGTCAGTCTCGCTGTAACCACGCTTGTGTTGACATCAGCATTGTAGTTGCAAAAATATTACATTTCCGTGAATGTATTATATCAAGCACAGTATGAATAGAATATCACTAATATAAGAGTATTTTAACCAAAAAGTACTAAAAAAACCAGTAACATATCTTGAACATTGGAAGGCTTGATAAAGTCTTTTGTTTTCATGTAGTTTATCCTAATTTACATTGAAATGCATTACGTTTCAGCAAAACTACTATTTATTTCTGAGAATATGGAAATGTAATATTTTGCTGAAATGACGTACGTATTACAGTGGAAAGTGACGAAAGCAATGACTCGCTTTCTTTCGTTCAAAAGATGTTACCGTAATCGCTTTTCGAATGGTTTTCAGTTAAAAAACTGTTGTATTACAATAATATTCTATCCTAATTCACTTGTGATGCAACAGTTTTTTAACTGAAAACCATTCGAAAAGCGATTACGGTAACATCTTTTGAACGAAAGAAAGCGAAAGTCATTGTTTTCGTCACTTTCCACTGTAATACGTACGTCATTTCAGCAAAAATATTACATTTCCGTGAATGTAGTATATCAAGCACAGTATGAATATAATATCATTGTAATATAACAGTATTTTAACCGAAAACTATTAAAAAAACGAGTAACATCTCTTGAACATTGGAAGGTTAGG